CAATGGGGTATGATAAAAAGGCTGGAAGTAATAATGATATTCACATTCACACAATGCTATCTAGTCCCAAACTAACCAGATTTTGTACTATGGGTACCAGACAACTGATATAAATACATGGAGTCTTTTTTTGTAAATAAATACACATTATTCATGAAAACACCCAGACCAAAATCAAGTTCATTATAAGTTTGGTACAAGGTTAAGTTTAGTAGTACGAGTATATTAGTGTAGTAGTTTGGGTATTACTAATTTGTGTATTGTGTGTCATATAAATAAATAAATAAAAATAAATAAACAATTTAATGTGTATCATAATTTTATGAATTTGGGGGTAGATTTCGAAGTGGCGTTATTCTTTTACTGTGCGCTTTCCGAGACACTTTTTGCCCAGCACAAACAATCTGTGGAACGGGTTATCGTCTGCGATATTTTCGGACCGATGCGACCTTCAAGAAAAGAGCGTACTCCTTCCTAAAAGGCCGGCAACGCGTTTGTGACTCTTGAGTTGCAGACGTACATGGGCGGCGATGCTCACTTTCCATCAGGGGAGCCGTCGCTCGTCTGCCTCCTCTAACATAAAAGAAAATTTAAAAATAAGTGGAAGTTGAGTACATCATTTCGTAATAGTCTTAAAATACATTATCATTTAAATCAAGCACGAGACGTTATGCCAGGAATTTAAATAAACATTATTTTTTGGCTTTTTGTTGTTAAACGGAATTATAATCAAGGAACACCATGTGATGGGCCAAGATAGGCAAAAACGATGGACTGTTTACTTGAATATCTAGAATTATTTACACCCAATCCTGAGAAAAAAAATGGCAATTCTTCTGACTAGAATATTTCACGATCATACGGTTGAAATAATCCAGTACTCCAAGGTATTGGATTACAGCATCCCGTATACAAAGACTGTAATAGTATAAAGAAAAGAAAGCCTTATTCTCGACGTTCGAATGCATAATGGATGTAGAGATTACTGGAAGAATTGTATTGAGTGCTGTTGTGGAAGCCTCAAAGTGGATGAAGAGCAATGAACGCATGTCATTAAATAAAATATGATACAATCGATTCGAATCTAGCAATTTCTGTTCACATACTTTTGGTGTGTGATTATTTTGTGAAGCCATCGAATACATAAATAGACGACCGGATGGCGTAGTGGTTTGTGTAACGGACTGCTATTCCAAAGGTCGCGGGTGCGATTTCCGCTCAAGTCAAACTTTTGTGTGCATGAAAATTGAATGTTCGATTTGGCCTGGGTGTTTCTATGTATAATAAGTAACTATTAACAAAAAAAATTATTTATGTATTTATATCAGTTGTCTAGTAGCCAAAGTACAAGCTCTGCTTAGTTTGAAACTAGATGGCGTTGTGTGAATGTTGAAAAAAAAAATAGGGTGAATCGATTCAGTGATTGATCTGATATTTTAAATCTTAATTATCATCAAGACAACCAAAAGTAATTTATTAATCGGTATCGTCATAGGGATTACAGGAATTGGCGAAGACTAAATTTAGGAGCAAACTTTGATATTGAAATAACAGGAATCGAAACCAGGACCCCTGGCTGCTAAGCCAGAGGTCTTGGTTTCGATTCCCACCCAGGATAAATATTGTGTGAGGAGCACTGTTATTGGTTCTGTGTCTGGGTGTAATTTATCTTTAATGTATGTGTTTAGAAATATACCTAAGTATGTTTATCAGCAGTCTGGTTACCAGTTTCTTTTTACTTATGGAAACCCCCTTGGTCCGTCATCATACCGGGCCTACGGCGGGGCATTGGAGATAGAAGGGATCCGGAAACAGATGATATTAAGACATCCTGGACAGTCTGGTTCCCATAGCTCTAATTTGGAATTAGACTGCCGCATGTGAGATGTGTGAAGTTATTATTATTAATGATATTTATTTTTTCAATTTGTTGCAATAGTACATCGCAGGCTACCCTAATTTTTTTGACAATATCCGTATAAAGGTTGTCTGTAAGAGATCGCCGTGAGCGATAAGACCGCTTATTGTTATACCGAAATGTATTTAATATCTGTATAAATAATAATTCAATGGTGTACAATAAAGAGATAAATAAATAAATAAATACAGATTCAACTAAAACATATCTAGATATTTATATCTGTTCCACGTCTTTACATAAAAAGGTGTCTGTGTCAGAGGTACGGTGTGCAAAAACGTCGCCTGCAGTGCTCCTTTTCACCGAAGTGAGCTCTGACTCGGTACAGTCAGGCAAACTACGCAGAATTCAATTAATATAATTTTTTAATTATGAATTTTTGCTTTTGTGCATATTTAATTAATGTATAACTGTGGTCACGGCTCCTCTTGTGTTCACGGGTGAACGCATTCCATGCTTTATAAACATGTATTAACGTAATGAAGAGCCAATTCATGCATTGAATATATAATTAAATTACGAACAAGGTTTTACTACAGGCTGATCTTTATCGTCCAGAAATGGACCAAATTCCAAATTGATAGTTCAGAATATACCTCGCAGGTCAACGTAATTGGTAACAGCTTTTTTTTTACTTACAGAGTTAGGATTGGCCCATGTTATAGTATACTTATCCTTTACTATCTCGTTTATATTCGTAGCGGTGACGAATTACGAATTTTTTAGACGGGTTTTTATAGGGTTTGTTTAAAGTGTTCCTTCTCTTTGCAGTGCTGTTGTCCTGCGTAGTTTGCTCCCTCAGTCGGCTCTTACGACACCCACGGGATGAATGGGGTTGGTGACACGCTGTATTCTTAATCCGTCACCACACGGACGCAAAACTTGAAGGAGTCTTATACTCATTAGTCTAAAAAACTAAACAAAAAAAAAAATATTTGTTTTGCAGATCCTACGTCTAATAATTTGCGCCAAGCGAAGCATCACTTTTAATCTCAATATTGAGATGAGGACAATATGAAACTACGACTTGTTCCGTCTCTCTCGCACCCGTAGGAACACAGATATTGTCATTTTGCCCTACGTATTATGTAGTTAAAGGATGATAGTATCATTCTGCCCCTGGTATGTATAAATATTTTGTTGGTTTATCTGATTTTACATTGATTAACTTATATTTTTACATGAGTGGGGTTTTTAGGTTGTTGATTTGTTTGTGTATAAATTTAAGTGCGTTGTGTTGGGCATTAAGTCCGCCGATGTACAAAAGTGCAAAATAAAGTTTTAAATAAATAAATAATAAAGTGACTATAGGCATAGAATTAAAGCATGCTTATGAACAGAAATCATTATGTGGCAACCCAAATTGGTGACAAGATTCAACCTTCACCTTACTAGTAATCAAAAGTTAATACTTATCTGTTGATGTAGAACAAACAAAGCAAAATACGCTATAGCTATGAATATAGTACGAAAAAGTAATAGAGTTTTGTCTGTATGTTGAATGTTAAGAAACGTTAAAAGAAATAAAAAGGGAAAACTCCAAATTAGGAGTAAGGCAGGTTGATCTAAAGTCCTACCCCCCTGCAAAACTTATCAGACGATGTAACCATGATGATAACACCCACCAGGAAGGACCAAGCATTACCACAATTCAAAAGTAAATCAGATGATTTGCTATGGGAGTAGTATTCCTACTACTCCCATAGCAAATCCCATAGAATGGTATGAGATTCGAAGTACTGGCTTCAGTCTAATCTATGAATGCTGCTTCAGTATGTTTAAGAAAGTCATTTTCAAAGTATATATATAAACTAGCGGACCCGACAGACGTTGTCCTGTCAAATTTGACACTGCGATGGTAGCGCCGTCTGTCTGATCCAATGTAAAACATTCCAAAATCAACAACTACTAATAAATTAAAAATTAATTAAAAAAACATCCAGCGGACAAAATTGTGAATCTAAACCATTCCCAGATCCCCTTGAACACACACAAAAAATTTCATCAAAATCGGTCCAGTCGTTTGAGAGAAGTTCAGTGACATACACGCTCACAGAAGAATTATATATATAAAGATATACATCTACACCATATCTGGTCATGGCGATTTATGTACATAAATTACAATATGTTAGATAAATATTGCAGACGGATAAATACAATGGATGAGCTTATCGCTAAAAGCAATCTCTTACAGGCAAACTTTGGATAAACAAATCGACAGTAGATGAGAAAAAACAATTGGTAGTCTAGGTGAATTGAAACTAGGTCTAGTTTTGCGCATTTGACGCTTTGTGTCGAGATCTTTCAAAGTATAGTGAAGAGAGGACATCATCATCGTCATCGGCCTGTTGCAGTCCACTGCTGGACATAAAAGAATTTATTGATCTTTTTTTTCATATATTCAAAGGCAATTCTAGAAATAAATTCTTTTATGTTCTCTCTTTACTAAACTTTCAACATAACTGGTGCTACTCTCATATCGAGCCACCACTTCACCTTCTTTATTGCTACTTTCTTTTATGTTTCCTTGTACCTTGTGGAATTACGGCAAAGTATGGCATACACTTCGCCGTAATATTCGGAAATGTTATGCCATGTATAGCTAAAACCTTAAATCCGGTTGTGTCTTGATTTTAGCAGCATTCATAGATTAGACTGAAGTCAGTACTTCGACTCCCATAGCATCAGAAATGGGCAAGTTCAGTTAAAAAGCTTACTAAACCCAGATCCGATTCTACTGCATGAAAGTCAACGACAGTGATCGATCGGAACACTGGATCAGACAATGGCAGTAAATGACCAAGTGATAAGTGACGCAAGTGAGATCCTCGAAGTTTATTTTTCAGACCAACAAAGTCTATTTTTCAACAAGATAAAGCCTCACGCCACGTAGGCTTCATTGATGAGCATGCCACAGTAAAAATATAATAGATAGTTACAGATGGCGATGTACGCGAGCGGCGCTGCGAGGAAAAACTTGTAAATAAAAATATAATCTCAAATATTTATGTCATAGGTTAGTTGTTTTTAGAGCAGCATGTAAACTTTAAGTATATGTATATACCAGCTGAGGAACCTGATGGTGAGTGACGACTGCATCATCTGTTCTGGTTTTATCATTTTAAATTTTATAAGTAAGCAAAATATATTTTTTTCTTTACTTCTTCTCTTCTTAATAAAACTTAGAGATCTAGCTTTGTTTGATCATTTTGATTAATATCTATTCTTTTGTAGAATCGTTTATTTAGTTAGTTAGTTTATCTATCAATCACAATATTTCTATTTAATCATCATTTACAACAGCGTTTAATAGTCCACTGTTGGACATAGGTCTCTCCTCAGAAAGGAGGTTTGGTACTACTATATCACGAGTAGAGACCATCTGGCGGACGACCATAATTGGTCAAAACTTAAATGTTTTGTTCTTTTATTCACTTATTTGTAAGTAAAAATTAAATAGTTCACCCATGCTAGTGGTTTAATATGTGTGAATGATACTTATGGTTCAAACTAAACAAGTACACTTCTTACTTGAACTTTTTTTGCGTATTAAAAAACGATTTAATAAATTTTCATTAAATAAATATTTACTTAACATTTACAGATCAATATGTTGGCGAAACACCTCACACTGCTCTTTATTATTTCCCAGCTGTTACATACGGTAACATTACATACGGTGCTGGTAATTAAAATTAAACCAACTAAGGAAAACTTAACACAAACTCTATGCCAACCCGTCTGGCCAGCGTGGTATAGTAGGCCAAAATCTCATTTCTAAGGAGAGGTCTAGCAGCAGTGGACTATTAGAGGCTGTTGATGAAGAATGGTGATGATACTAGTGGTGACTTTTTCGGTGAAGATTTAGCTATTGCTAATGACAAGGAACAACACACAAATGTGTTTCTTAAACCACCGAAACCCTGGGGAGACGTGTATAAGCAGTATGGCTGGGATCCTGGGTCCAGTAATATTAAGGCCATTGAAGCTAAAGTTATTGGTGTTGACTCAAAACCGGTTGCTGTTGGTAGTGCCGAGTACGTCAATAGTCACAATAGCTTAGACGTAACTTACAGCACAAGTGTAACGCAGCAAGATGACGAGACTGTCGAACACACCTGGAGTACAGGGGGAGAAAATAATATTGAACAAGAAATCAAATATGAAGTAAACTTTGGTGTAGGGACTGTAGGAGTTGGTACTGATTTGTCTTACCCTGGGTCTTGGGGTATAACACGAAGTCTAGAACCGTACCCATTGGAACTACTTCAACTATACTGACTTTTGTTCCTAAAGGCAATTCAGTAGTGGCTTCACTTATAGCTACACAAGGCTCATCATCATCATCAATGCCTTTAATGGTCCACTGCTGGACATAAGCCTCTTCTCACTCAATGCTCGATGGATATTAAAATCCGTTTCGCCACCGAACTCACAGGAAAAGTATTTTGTAACTATGAAGTAACTCCAAAAAGCTGCAGACACACCTCTATCCAAATACTCCAGTGAGAAGGTATCGGAAGGTTTATATACCAGCATCAAGCTGGAAGTAACTAACAGTAGTAACTAACGTAACAATTATTGTCAACATGCCCAGGATACACAAGCAGACAATTTATTAGTTAAAAACTTAAGTCTGTACAAAAAAAGTGGTATTGTTGCTTCTCAATGAAAACTGCCATTGTTAATTATACATTCGCTTTAATACTTAAGTTTTGATATCGTCTATACACACGAAATAACATAGAGGCTACGTTGAGTTTAAGTAGGTTCTTTAAGTAATTTAACGACAAAACGACTTAAAACTTTATTGAAAAAATTGCAAAGATTTTGTTTTTTAAGTGAAAACTTGTTTAGGCGCTTTCGAACATTTCGATTTCAAACAACAAACAGAAGAATGTATTTTTAAAGATGGGAAAAAACTATTGAACTGGCGACACTGTCATCACACATGATAATGCGAATAGTATATACCTAAATTGGTAATAAGACTCAACCTTCACCTTACTAGTAATCAAAAGTTAATACTTATCGGTGACTGTAGAACAAACAAAACAAAATAACCTACAATTATAAATATACTATTATAAAGTTGTTAAGTATTGTCTGTACACGCATCACATCACATCAGCAGCCTATAATAGTCCACAGCTGGACATAGGCCTCTCCTTAGAAAGAAGGTTTTGGCCTACTATAAAACGCTGGCCAGACGAGTTGGTATAGGGTTTGTGTCAAGTTTACCTTCTCTTTGCAGTGCTGTTGTCCTGCGTAGTTTGCTCCCTTTGAATAGGAGTGGTGACACTCCGTATTTTGAATCCGTCACCACACTGAAAAAGAAAACCTACACACCACGTAAACATAATATATTGTAATGTAACTCTTGGGAAAAATAATAAGGTATAACCACAATTCAACAGTAAATCAGATGATATCATAGACAAGAAAAGAAAATAAACTCTTCTCTGTCCTCTCTTTGCTAAGTTTGTGAAATTACCTTTTTGAACATAGTTAAAACAACCTTCAGCTACAAAAAAATTCGAGCCATCACAACACTGTAAACCTTCTACATTGTATCTTTCTGTTTTGTTTCTTTCACCGGCAATCCCGGTGAACTGTATGCCCTGCTAATATTTTTCGTATTACGATCTGTAACATCTAAAAGCTCAAGGTTTGGGACCTTAGCTGCTTGATTTTGGCAATTAGACAAGACTGAAGCCAGCACCTACTCATTGCATCAGAAAGCAGCAAGTTCTAATTTCAACTGATCTGATTCATGTACATAAAAATCAACAATAGTGAACGATGTAAACACTGGATAGGACAGTAAATGACCAAATGATAAATCTATATTAAATAGTCTGATTTCGGATCCACCAGAGGCTCTTTATCTAAAAGGTGAAGTGACATGTCGTGTAGGCGTCATTGATGAGCACGCAGCAGCAACGCAATAAAAATATAATTCACAGTTACGGATGTTGTTGTACGCGAGCAGAGCTGCGGGGAAAAGATTGTTAATATAAATTTAATCTTAAATTTTTACGTAATGGGTTAGTTGTTTTTAGAGCAGCATGTAAACAAGGAATATATGTATATACCAGCTGAGGTGGCTGGTAGTGGGTGACAGCTTTGATCATTTCTCCTGATGCTATCGTATTTAATTGTAAAAGTAAGCAATAAATTTTTTTCTTCTCCTCTTTTCCTTCTCTTCTCTATAAAAGTCAAATCTCTAGTTTTGTTTGATCAATCTGTTTGTTATAGTATTAAAATTTATTTCTTTATGGAATGCGGTTCCATCTTATCTTCCATAAGATGATTTTAGTCGCAATATTTCTATTTACTTAAACTTATTTCAGTAATATTTTATTTTTTTATTATAATCTACGTATTGCAAGTAATGGTATTAAATAAAAAAACATCTGGCGACAGTAATTGGTCAAAAATGTTAATGTTTTTTTAACAATTTTCAACATAACTGTAAAAATTAAATTGTCCTATATTAGGACTCATGCGTTTTAATATCGCAGGTAGATTATTAAGTGTGAACTTTCGGTAAACTGTGTGTAAAGAAAAATATCATAAATAAAGTTTAACGGTTTTTCATGAGTTGAAGAACTATGTTGTAAATTTATACATAATACTAGCGTTAAAATCCGATGGAGTCCATGTTTTTATTAAGCAACTTTGTCGAAACATTTGCAGATCAAGATGCTGTCGAAATACCTAACATTACTCTTAGTGATTCTGCCAGCTTTTACATACGCCGGTATAGTAATTAAAATTAAACTAACTAAGAATGGTGATGACACTACGGTCGAATTTCTCGGTGAAGATTTAGCTGATATCACAGAAAAGGAACGGGCGCTTTTTAACATCGACGACGAAACCTTGAAAAATGAAACAGAAAAATTTATCGGAAAACGCTGCACAAATGTGTTCCTTAAACCACCGACACCCTGGGGAGACGTGTATACGAAGTATGGCTGGGATCCTGTTAAAAGGAATATCAAGCCAATTGAAGCCAGAGTTATAGGTGTTAATATGAAACCGGTTACCGTCGGTAGTGCGGAATATGTCAATAGTCATAACAGCCTAGTCGTTCCTTACAATACAAGCTTAACTCAGCAAGTTAACGAGACTGTTCAACACACCTGGAGTACAGGGGTGAAATTTGATGTAGAACAAGAAATCACATACGAAATAACCTTTGCTGAGAATAGTGTCGAAGGCAGTACAACTATGTCTTACACTTCATCTTGGGGCGAGGATACCACGAAATTCAGATCAGTAACCCTCGGCACTACTTCAACTACAATGACCGAAGTTCCCCCAGGGAATTCGATAGTGGCTTCACTTATCGCTACGCAAGGCACGGTGGATATTGAAATCCGTTACTCCATCGATCTCATAGGAAAATTATTTTGTAACTATGAAGTATCGTTTCACGGACATCACTTTTATGCTATGCCTATTCACCAACTCCATAAAGCTGCAGACACACCTCTCCTGAAATACTCCACTGAGAAGGTATCAGTGGGTTTCTATACTAGCGTCAAGCTGGAGGTGACTAACAGAACTGTTTCGTGATAAATAAATGCAAAAATTACATAAACTTGGATTAATGAATCGACCAGTTAAGATTATACTTGTTTGTGAAACGTACGTTTGTTTTAAATCAGCCTCCGGGCCTGTTGGTCTAGTGGTTAGTGGCCCTGACTGCTAAGCCGGAGGTCGTGGTTTCGATTCCCACCCAGTACAAATATTGTGTGATGAACACGGTCATTTGTTCTGCGAGTGTAATTTATCTTTAATATATATGTATTTAAAAATATATAAGTATGTTTATCAGCAGTCTGGTTGCCTACAGGCTCTGCCTAGTTTGGGATCAGACAGTCGTGTGTAAGATATGTGAGACATAAAAAAAATATTGGAAAATTCTCATCGAAAACTGAATGTTGAATACCATTATGGGAATAGTAGTTTTGTAGTTTATCATGATCATATAGTTGTTATCAGCCATGCTTACATACATAAACGTAAACGTGTAGTAGCAATTATTAGTGGAAGTGTTTTATTTGTGTAATCCAAAGACGATTAAAAGCCTGCGTGAAATTATATTAAATACTATCCGTGTAGTGACGGATTAAGAATACGGAATGTCACTACCCTCATTCATACCCTGGGTGTCGTAAGAGCCGACTAAGGGAGCAAACTAAGCAGGACAACAGCACTGCAAAGAGAAGGAAAACTTGAAACAAACCCTATACCAACCCGTCTGGCCAGCGTGGTATAGTAGGCCAAAACCTCCTTTCTAAGGAGAGGCCTATGTCCAGCAGTGGACTAGTATAGGCTGTTGATGATGATGTGAAGAAGTAATAATTAAAAAATAAATAAATGTCTATTTAATTTTAATGAATACTTAAATGTTTGTAAAATAAAATATTCTATAAAAATATAAAATAAGTAATATATATATATATATATATACATATACATAGATGAGTGCACGGAAGGCGTAGTGGTTTAAGCAGACGCCACGCCGTTTCCTACTACGCCGAGTGTTGTGGGTTCAAACCCCACATGTGACGACACTTTGTGTGATCCACAAACTGTTGTTCTGAGTCTGGGTGTTCTTTGTGTCCTTTTCATGTATGTTTATAAAGTCCCCCGCGACACAGGGTATATTCCTAATGGGGGCGTTGTCTTTAAAAAAAAAAAAAATCTACGCACATTCACTAACACCAGAATAGGTAGACAATGTAGGTAGACAGTCGAAGACTCGGGACTTTCATTCAATAGCCTGAGCAAGATGTAACTGTGCTAACAATCCCTAATGCTTTCGTATTAGCAATTACTCTTTCTTGCCATTGGCGTCCCTTCTCACATAACAAGATGTTTAGTACCCATATAAACACTCGTCGGTGTGGTGAACGATTAAAAATACATAGTGTCACCTCCCCTATACATCCAGTGGGCGTTGTAAGACCCGACTAAGGGTAAGCTCGGTGGTGACGGATTAAGAATACAAATTGTCACCACCCCAATTCATCCCGTTGGTGTCGTAAGAGCCGACTAAGGGAGCAAAATAAGCAGGACAACAACACTGCAAAGAGAAGGAAAACTTGAAACAAACCTTATAGGCCAAAACCTCCTTTCTAAGGAGAGGCCTATGTCCAGCAGTGGACTAGTATAGGCTGTTGATGTGTGATGTGAAGGGTAAGCTCTGCAGGACAACAGCACTGCAAAAAGAAGGAAACCTTAAAACAAACCAATATTTCCAATATTTGAGCTACTGCAGTTTCAGATTCGATTGACTACCCGACAATTACTCTAGGTTCCTCGGCCCACCTCTAATCCTATTCCTCCTTTATCCGAACCTAAAAACGACCAGGTACAATCCCAAGAAATATTGACGTCGCGTTGTTCCGCAAATAAAGTACGAAAGGGGAAAGAAAATGATTATGTCAAAGAGATGAGTAACAAAGCAAATTGACAATATCAGCCAATCTTTTATGATGTACAGTACACAGACAAAGTTGATTAAGTATATGCCATGGAGAAGCCTGATAGCTAACTGATATAATGACGTAATCTGTAGAACTCGTAGACGTAGAGCTGTTTCGTAGGTAATATAATAATATAATATTGTACCACATTCACACAACGCCATCTAGTCCCAAACTAAACAGAGCTTGTACTATGGGTACTAGAAAACTGATATAAATACATGTATAGTTTTTTTTGTAAATAAATAAATAATAATAATAATATTCTACCACATTTACACAACGCCATCTAATCCCAAACTAAACAGAGCTTGTACTATGGGTACTAGACAACTGATATAAATACATGTATACTTCTTTTTGTAAATACATACGTACTCGTATTACACATAGAAACACGCAGACCAGAGCGGGACTTAACTTAACTTGAGCGGGAATTGAACACGCGACCTTTGGATTAGCAGTTCTTTACACCACCACTACGGCATCCGGTCGTCAGGTTAGTAGCAGAAAAGATACCAAATATATTTGGTACTTCAAAATATTTCCGGTAATATAAAAATGTAAAATATGAATTGAAAATTTATGTAAAAAGCATGAATAGAAACTTGTTATAAATATGTGTTTGTTAGAATTTCCTAAATGAACAATTAATAAATATTTGCAATTAAATAGCTATAGACTGGTTAAAAATAATAAAAAGAAACTAAAAATAAGAGGCGGCAGTTTGATCTTAGGTCGTTTGGATGGTAACAAAGAAGATATAATAAATAAAATAGAAATAAAAAAGCCTTTTTTTTTTTGTTACTAAAAATTACAGTTACAATTAATCTTATCTTATCTAATGTTATACAATCACACGTGCGCTACCTAAGTAGTAGGAATCCCTCTTAATCGAAGGTGAAGGCCTCCTCTAGAGATTTCCAAGCGTCTCTGTTGGTTGCTGTGTCCATCCAATGATGTGAGGACGTGCGGACTGCACGGATAGCGTAGTGGTTTAAGCGGTCGCCACGCCGCTTTCTACTACGTTGTGGGTCCGATCCCCATATGGGACGACACTTTGTGTGATCCACAAATTGTTGTTCTAAGTCTGGGTGTTCTTTGTGTCCGTTTCATGTATGTTTGTAAAGTCCCCCGCGACACAGGATTTGTTCCTAATGTGTTTCGTGGTGCCACTTGTGTTATATCATCTGTCCACCAGGCCACTGAATTGCCTCTCTTCCTGCTGGTCCGACCATCTTCGTCCATCTGTTAGCCGCGTTATGTGGCCGGCCCAGTGCCACTTTTATTTTTTGCATCGAGCATTAAAAACTGTTGGAATAAGTCAATATAATACTTTGGCAACACTGGTTATTTTCTTTATAGTAAAAGGTCTATAGTCTGTATTGTTCTCTATGATCTGTATTACTGCGCTCTGTACTGAATGTGTAACGCTAAGTGTATTGTAATAAAACTGCAAGTCTTTTCACAAAACTCGTTTAACTTTAATAATCCTACAAAAACCTTAGTCTTTTCCAAATAGTTTTATTTGGTACTTTTTGTATCTTTTTCAGGTTTAATATGCTTCTTTCCATCTAACTTTGGTATGATCTAATTTTGTTTTTAGCTTTTAACAGAAGACATAGAGGTGATAAATAAATTGTATAAAGTAGAGAGTTCTGAAGTTAGCGTAAAAGTATTGCCGTTGAAATGCCTGACGTTTGGAACGTTTTAATCTTGAGAAGGTATTGCATTACCTGTTTATTCGATTAGCCGCAATCTGGGGACGTTGATAAAAAGGGAAAGAAGACGGCGACCACTTCGGGCCAACAAATCAGCGAAGAGGTGCGAGAGACACCTCTCACACCTCTTCGCTTCGTCCCCGGATTGTGGCTCGCCTCTCTCCTCCCCGCCTCGCCTATCTATAAATTATCTCTGTAATGTATTGTACATAATGGAACTCGATAATTTAAAAGTTCCTAAAGCATTTTTTTTGTCATATTTCACGGAGTAACTGATTATTTATTAAATTAAAAATCATGATTTGTGTAGATTTTAAATTTTGATTTTTTTCATACAGTGAAAAGTATATTGAGTTTTTACCTTATTAGTGTGTTCAAATTTCAAATATCTCATCAATGAACCAAGATTTTATAGGAATAACAGTAAGTCTTGTATTAAGTTGTAAACGAATCTACGTGATTTTTCCATAAAAAGAAGGAAGAAGCCAAGAGCGGCTTAGGTTATGGGACTGTTTTATGAGACAAAACCTTAATATTTTCATGTAATCAATCGAAGAAGAAGACACACGGCCGTCTGATCCCAAACTAGGCAGAGCCTGTACTATGGTAACTAAACGATTGATAAACCTACATATTATACAAAAAAAGAATCAAAAAATTATTGATATGACAAGGTATTAGTTAATTGGAAATACTGAAATAATTGTATTTCAGTACAATGCAGTAATTGAGTATGTCTAAATATAAAACGAATAGAGTTTTTTCTTTGCACTTACCGCGTCGTATTTCTACATCACCTGAAGGTCGACTGGGAGAGAATGCTTCATGACATTAAGTCCGCCTAAATAAATATAATATAATATAATATATTCTACCACATACACACAACGCCATCTAGTCCCAAACTAAGCAGAGCTTGTACTATGGGTACTAGATAACTGATATAAATACATAAATACTTTTTTTTTGTAAATACATACATATTATACATATAAACACCCAGACCCAGATCAAACATCAAATGTTCATGCACACAAATGTTTGACCTGAGCGGGAATCGAACCCGCGACCTTTAGAATAGCAGTAGGTTACACAAACCACTACACCATCCAGTCGTCAAATGTGTAACATGTGCATTAAGTTTAAATAAATAAAGTTTCTGAATATTGAAAGATCATATTTTTGGGTCCGTGTGGTGACGGATTAAGAATACAGAGTGTCACCACCCCTATTCATCCCGTGGGTGTCGTAAGAGCCGACTTAGGGAGAAAACTACGCAGAACAAAAGCACTGCAGAGAGAAGGAAAACTTGACACAAACCCTATACCAACCCGTCTGGCCAGCGTGGTATAGTAGGCCA